AAAATCATCATTTGAAGAAGAGAACAAATTCAAGGTTGAGTTTTTTTTGCAATTTTAGTTAAGATTATTTCGATTAATTTTTATTTTTATTTGTATGTCAGTGTTGGTCATAGTTTAACAGAATCATTTGCAATGCTATTTATTTTTATAATTATCAAAGGAAAAAAAATGAATTATATATATTGAATGTTTCAAAGTTCGGAGTAGTCCGTCACTATTCTGAATAGAAGAACGAAACGAAACGATGAGCAGCGTATACATACATATATAGAGAATTGAGTGAAGAAAAAAAAAATACAACGTTCACGAGATTCATCGTTTACTCTCGTCTGACCAATACTACTGAGTATACCGATCTAATCGGACAAACTATTCCTCGTTCGTTCATCGTCCTCATCATCATCATCGTCGTCTTTTTCTTTATAATTTAATAATGAGTCGTCCTTGTTATGCAGTCTTGTGTTGATAGATTATGGCACATGTTTCTCTCTGCCATCATCAATATTACTTAGTAAGAAAAGAAGAGAAACAAAAAATAATGAGTTTTTTTTTATTCTTTTCTTATTTTTTTTTTGTTAACAGAATATATCAAGATCGTTTTGTATGCTCGAGTCTTGCTTTCTTCCGGATGATGATGAGAAAAAGAAACTATGTTAATGTATGCATATATAAATGTTTAACGAACATTTTATTTGTGTTTCATAGATAGACGATATCAATCAGTTACTGATGAACTAAAAGCGTTTTGTGCATTTATTTAATAATGAACCTTGTAAGATGAGGTTCATCAAGATTGTTAGATGAACGATATGTATACCGTCAAAGCATGATTACGTAAATATAATATTCATCATTGATAGATAGAATAGGAGTGACGACCTTTTCTCTTTTTCTATTTTATATTCAAGTAATAATTTACTGTTATTGTTTTTTTATAGATTTTTCTGTATATATGTTGTTCTCGATAAATAATTATTTCAGTCAGTATGCACGGTGACATTGAACATGTCCGAAGCAGATCTTCTTCAACCAGGAAATATCGTTCGCGAACGATGGCAAGTTGTAAGTAAATGTGTAAAATTGAGTTTAAAAAGCAAAAAAAATTCTTTTTTTTTTAGACTAGTAAGATAGGTGGTGGAGGCTTTGGTCAGATCTATGAAGCGCTTGATCGTGTTACCAAAGAGAATGTAGCACTTAAATTAGAATCGGCTAAACAGCCTAAACAAGTTTTAAAAATGGAAGTCACAGTTTTACGACGTTTACAAGGAAAAGATCATGTATGCAAATTTCTCGGTGGTGGGACAAATGAATTATATAATTATGTTGTGATGACATTACAAGGCAAAAATCTAGCTGAATTACGTCGTAGTCAATCACGACAATGTTTTACTTTATCAACATCATTACGTATTAGTTTACAAATTCTTCAAGCTATTGAATATATACATTCAATTGGTTTTCTTCATCGTGATGTTAAACCATCAAATTTTTCTATGGGACGTTTACCAACAACATGTCGAAAAGTTTTTATGTTAGATTTTGGTCTTGCTAGAAAATATACAAATGCTGAAGGAAATGTACGAGCAGCTCGACCACAAGCAGGTTTTCGTGGTACTGTTAGATATGCATCAATAAATGCACATAAAAATAGGGTAAAAGAAATTTTTTACTTATGATCATATTGATTTGTTCTTTTTTTTTCTATATAGGAAATGGGTCGACATGATGATCTATGGAGTTTATTTTATATGCTTATTGAATTTATTACAGGACAATTACCATGGAGAAGAATTAAAGATAAAGAACAAGTTGGACAAATGAAAGATAAATATGATCATACACATTTTTTAAAGAGTCTTCCATCAGAATTTAAACAATTTCTTGAACACGTACAAACTTTACGTTATGAAGATAAACCAGATTATGATCTATTACAAAATTTATTTCGTACATCTATAACTCGTCGAGGTTATAAAGAACAAGAATTATATGATTGGGAAAAAGAAGGCAATGGCATTGAAGATGAAATAAATCTTAATCGTCCATCTGTATCTTCTCAACAACAACAACAGCAACAAATATTATCAAGTATCAATAATAAACTTTCCGCGTATGTTGTTTACTAGAAATAATAGACTATATTAAACTAAATATATATATATTTCTAGAGATATGACAAAAGCAGTTATGACTGCTCAACCAACTTTAACAATTGGTACACGTCAACAAGCAACAGAAGCAGATATACTTGATGAACGTTGGAAATCAACAAAACAGTCAAGTGCTACATCTGATCATTCACCACGTCGTAGTATTCCGAAAAGTCTTGATCGAAATACTCGTCGATCAGGTGCTGTCATTCAATCTACAAATTCAACGGAAAAAGATACATCTCTCTCGAAAAAACATCATCATCATCAACCACGTACTCCTCTTACTACAACTCAAATATCTGAATTATCACAACGTTTAAGACGTCCAAATACATCCAAATCATCAATTGGTGAACCTTTAACACCTACAAGTAAATTAGTTGGAAAAGAAGATTCACCAGCTAGTGCATCACATTCCGATTCTGGTAAAATAAGAAATGGTACACAAAATCGTTCATATCAATTCAAAACATCGGATGCACCTAATCTTGATGAACCACTTTCACCTGCACTTATTATGTATGCATCATCGAGTGGTATGGAACATGGTAAACCACCTAAAACGCCACGTTCAAATCGAACAGGAAATAGTCGTAGTGATGCTGTTGTAGTAACACGGCAATCAATGACAACACGTGGTGGTGATAGTGAAGCTATATCTATGCCAGGAGCAACATATGCAATGAAACTTGGACCTCAAACAGTTATGTCTCAATGGATGATATCACTTGATGATAATCTTGATGATGAAGGAAGTGATAATCAACATAGTGCAAAATGGGAAGATGCACAAGAAAAACTTCAAAGGTTTTTACAAAAAAAAATTTATATATATAATTTTGTTTTTTAATCATTTTATTTAATTTAGTACAACACATGAACCATCACAATATCATCCTGCAGCATCATCATTATCTTCACCTCCTGTGAATAATCCGCTTACTCCGTCCAATATGAACAGTCAACAAACAAAAGCAGTTAATAATTTACAATCTCCTGTTGTTTATGCCACTGTTTTGAATAGTAATATTAATGCTGGTCGACAACAGCCACAACAACAACCACAACCACAACCACAACAACAGTATCATCGACCATTATTAAGAAATGTTGATGACAATTTAGGCACATTGAACAGTTATGATGGAAAAGAAAATAAACGTAAAAATTCTTTTTAAAGATTTAATTTAATTTATTTTGTTTTTTCTTCTTCTAATAAAAGAATTGATTAATCATTCAAATGAACAATCAATACCTGAAACAATTCCATTTGAAAGTTATCGAACAATCGATGGTACAATCAATATATCCTATCCTAGAAATAATAATAATAATTCTGCCGGTGCTAATCGATTGTCTGATGATGAAAATGGACATGATGGTGATGTTGATGAAGAAGATGAAGATAATCATGAACCATCGAAACGGAAATCTAATGAACAAAGTAGACAATCAAATCTAATGGGTGATTCTTTTTCTAGAAATATATCTTCATCTGCATTCATTGATAATTCGGTGCGATTGAGCCCGAATAATTCAACAGAATTGATGATGACGATGAAAAGAAATAGAGAAAAAAATGAAATTTTAGAGGATAATGTAACGCATATATCAAGAAATGGTAAAACAGGATATGAACATCGTACGATTGTTGTTTCATCTGTAGTTCGACCAAATTCATCAAGTTCATCGAGTTCGTCACCGTCATTACCTGTTGAGAAACATCAACAAGTAAAAACTAGGAGATATAATTTTGTTCCCGCTCCATTTAATGGAACACGTTTAACAGCTAAATCAACAGAACATCTTAATCGTTCATTAGCAAACGATAGTTTTGCAAATTATTCGACACCACCAACAACCCCACCAACTGTTCCATCATTTCAATTACCAATAAAATCTAATTCTCCAACATCAATACTTAAACAAAATTTTCATCAAAAATATATACCATCAACTAAATTACAGAGTTCAAGTAAGACAGTATAAAAAAAAACGTAGAAAAAAAACTAGTTTGCATGCTGCATTCATCTCCGACTAATATCTGCACGTAACTTATATCTATATAACTTATTCTTATTTCTTTACCATTCATCATCATCAATTTTGTTTAACATTATTAATTGTTGCATGAATAGATCTATTTCAATAAAAATCTTCTTTATTATTATTATTATTATATGTGTGTGTGTGTTAATTTATTTAGACTATGATGAAGATGAACCTGTTGTTAATACACGAGATGAAAATAATGATGACTCTAAGAGTGATGTCCGTTTCTTAAACGGTACTCGTATATCATCATCATCATCGTCAGTAGTTCAACCTCAATGTGGTGACGATTTCTATAAAAAGTTAATGTTCTATGAAAAAAATTCTTCATTAAATGATAATAATAATAATACTAGTTCATCCCGTCGATCATCATATCAACAACCAACTTCTATACTATCCACATCAAGACCTTATAATGGTCTTATGAATCGCTCAACACAACAAATTCCTACAGGACCAAATCTTTCGTCAAATACAACAGATCGAATGTCTCGAAGTAAATCTTATAAAGATTTATCAGATCCACCTATTGCTCATCCAATCTACTATCATCACCAACAACCACAGCCGCAGCAGCAACAACAACAACAACAACCATCATCATCTTCACATTCGTCTAAATATTATTCTAATTATACAAATCCATCAGTTATTAATAGTATGCTAGGTAATGGAGGTGGACAAACAGATTATCAACGACGTCAAACATCAATATTAACTAATAATTTTATGTCCGATGATATATCTAGTTCATCAACAGGCCATTTACCCAAACCTCCGCCTGGCATACCCAGTCAAAATGCAAGGTATTATCATATTTTGAAAATTACTAAATAAAAATTTTATTTTTTTCCGTAGGCGTCGTCGTTATAAAGTGGATAGTTTAACCATTCGTCAAAAAGATCGTACTGGTGATGGCTCATTAGAACGTTCACCCATGACTTGATAAATTCGAGCTTAAATCTCTTTTATTTTCCTTCTTCATTTTTCGAAAATAATATTATTATGTTTCTTTCGTTTCGTTTCTTTTTTTTATTCAAATCTATATGTATATATCCATATAAAACAGATGAAAACATCATTATTCTAGAACTGTTGTTTTCTGTTCTTTTCTTTTTCTTTTCTTCTGTTTACAAATCGTTTCTTCTTCACAATCGAAAAATTCTTTCTTGTTTTTGTGCGTTAGATAAGTTGAAACGAAATCTAATATGTGTGTGAAGAAAACAAAATAATAATAATAATTCAAAATATAATTTCTTTTTAGATGAATACAACAATAGGTTTATGTTATATACAATTAATTCTTATTACACATGGCATATGTATTCTAATGGGTGCACCATTATTAACAGATATAATACGAACATTTCTATTTAGTATTTATATTGTTTTGATTGGTTTTACACCTGTTATTATTAGTTTAAAAGGAAATTTAAATGATATTTATAATTTTCTATTTGATAATGAATTTTATTTAACGATATCGAAATCGAACAAACATTTTTTTATGAAATATTTAGTTTGGGGAACAATTATTGGTGCATGGTTAGGTGCTTTACCAATTCCATTAGATTGGGATCGTTGGTGGCAACGATGGCCAATCACATGTCTTATATCATCAACATTGGGTGCTGGATTTTCTGTGATATTTACATATTTATGGTTATGGATAAGAAAAAATCAAAAATATAATGAAGATACAGAATAAATTGCAATTTGTTCTTTTTTTTTTGTAATATAATTTATAATAGTAAATGAGCTAGACAATATTTTTTATGTTCTCATAGCAATAAAAGACGTTTTAATTATGAAAATTTCTATTATGTCAAATGGGAAGAAAAGCCAAGGATGTAGACTGAGGAAGAAAATACTTCTATATACAATTACGTTTGTCGGAGGTGTTTTGTTAATCAGAAAACTAATCATAGTCAGACGCAATGTGTTTATTATGTAATATTTGCATGTATAACCAACCATCTGCACTCTATTTGATGAATATACTTATAATTTCTCAAGTAATCAATTTCGTCAAGATAAAAACTAATGAATGAATTCAATTTAGTCATAAGCTGTGAATCAAAATGTAAATATAGTTTTCAAGAAACGATAATAGCTCTCATAGCTAATTATATCAAAGAACTGTTATTTTTTGTTTTCTATCAAAAAAAAAGAGCTTCAGTTATTATTCAATCTAACAATTTTTCTATCAGCTAATAAAAGAATGCATAATGCAATTCATGCAATGGTGAATCATTCTCTTATTCATACGTGTGTTTGCTCAATAAATCGACAAAATAAGTAATTGTTTGCTTCTGTCGATAGAATATTTAAGTTCTGTGAAAGAAAAGGAAAAACTTTTATTTATAATTTCTTTTCATTCTATCGACGAGCGGGTTTTTTTCTCTATACCTGTCTAAGAAGGTTGAATAAATTTTTTTTGCTATGCAAATAAGTGACATAGAAAAAAAAGACTGAAAATAAATGAAAGAACACCAAGGTTATGGTAGAAAATAGAATAATGGCGTGTTGATCAAAATAATAAAAGTTTACATTTTAGATATACTTTAAATTTTATAGAATTATGGCCCAAATAACAGCAAATCAAGAACGTGAACTACGTGATGCATTCAATCTATTTGATACTGGTATATTCAAAGAAAAAAGAAGCTTGAATATAAAATAAATAACGTTAGTTTCTATTTTTAGATCATTCAGGTAAAATATCCAAACTTGAATTAAAAAAAGTTCTTCAAGCTTTAAATATAAAAGCTTCGGATGATGAATTACAAAAATTATTACAGAAAATGGATACTGATAATAGTGGTGAAATCGATTATAATGAATTTAAAAAAGTTATGAGCGAATCATTTTTTAAAAAATATTCTAAACAAGACCTTGAAGCTGCATTTAAAAAATTCGATGCCGATAATAATGGTTTTATAACAACACATGAACTTAGTCATATATTATCGCGAATGGGAAGACATATAAGTCAAAATGACGTTAATGCAATGATCAAATCATTAGATTCAAGTGGTGATGGAAAAATTTCACTCGATGAATTTTGTAAACTATTTGATTGAAAACCTTTTCTTTTTGTTTTCATTTTAAAATAACATTCCTGTATCCGAAAAATGTATGTCCTCTATTTTAATATTGTTTTGTTCTATTTAGAAAAATAATAAAAACTAAATTTTTATCGTTGTTCTGACAAGTAAAATATATTACTACAACATCCTTGATTCTATATATGAAGTTTATTATATGCTAATAGAACTTATCATCTCATTAATGAATGGAACACTATAACCTCCTACTTTTAGATTTTACGTTGAAAACAGTAAAAATATGATATATGTCTATTCATCCTAAAGTCCACTTGCGGTTCTGTTCTATCCTTGATGTATATCGTATATTCTAGGTACTTTTTTATTTCAAAAGAATAACCGGACATTTTTAATTATTTAGAGAATGGTAAAAAATTGAAAAATCTATTCTTGTTATGATGAAAAAAAGATCAAAATGAATAAATAATAAACCCATGTACTCATGTTAAAATGAAAGTAATCTTTTCAGGTGTTCGATTTCAATGAACAAAAGTTGTAGAAAAGTGACTTCTATACCTCACACTTGTTTATAATGATGATACATAAATATAGAACATGGTACTCCAGTTTGTTTTCTTTGCATTATCAGTTAATAACCTAGTCATATTCGGATCAAACTATCACTCTCAGTGCTAAACTACTAAATTTAAAATATAAGCTGCTAAAGGTTGTCTTATATTATAAACTTAGTAGTTTAGCGCTGAGAGTGGTAATTTGATCTAAATATGGCTAGTTTATTAACTGATGATATAAAGGAAGTAAATTAGGATATCATAGTAGTTTGCCACGCCCATATAAGAGAAAAAAAGCACAGAGGAAGTAAAATCATGCATGAATAAATGATTCCCCTATATTTACTTGTAAATATGTCTAGTACTTTACCTTTACAACATTTTTTTGGCAATAGTCAATTCATACGCTTTATTTGAAGTAAGAATGTTCGATTAGTAAATGGAAAAAAACAATACTCTTCCTAGTTTTGTCTTATTGAAGTAGTTTAAAAGCAAATGCATGTATAATACTGTTTTTTTAATCATATTTATTACTGACTATATTGAATGGGTTAAAATACCATTAAATGATTTCGGCATAATCGAGTATGTAGTTTTTCTTCTATATTGTTATAATATAAAAGAGTAAAAAATGTATTCATTTTTGGCAAAGATTACTTGTAACGAAAAGCGTTTAGATGGTACTGGATATTGATGAAGTTAAACGCTTCAACAGTGAGCATATATCAGAAAACGACGAAGATGATAATACATTTCATGGAAATCAAGAAAGTATTACACTTATATGGTTTGATAAAAGTATCGATTTAAATTCGAAAGATATTCAATTAACAAAAACTATGTTAAAAGAAATTAATGATTATATTATATTATTTACTAATATTGATGTCTGTATACAATATATTGAATCAATAAAATCAGAGATAATATTTCTGATTGTATCCGGAAGTGATGCACATAATCTATTGTCAAAAATACATAATCTTCGTCAAATTGATAGCATCTTCATATTTTGCATGGATAAATTAAAATATGATAAATCATTGATTGGAAAAGGTGATTATTATAAAATAATTGATATCTTCACTGAGCAAAGCAGCCTAATTAAAAGTATTCAACGTACTATTCAATTAGTTGAAAGACAAATGGATATTTTTAGTTTATATAGTCAAAATCAAAAATCGATACGAAATTTAACGAAAGAATCTGCATCATTCATATGGCATCAACTTTTAAAGGAGGTTCTACAAAAAATGCCAAGTGGGGATAAAAATGCAAAACAAGAAATGATCGAAAAATGTCGTCTATATTATCGCGGTAACAAAAAAGAATTAAAAAATATTGATGATTTTGATAAAAATTATTCTGTTAATAATGCAATCAAATGGTATACAAAAGATAGTTTTCTATTTAAATTAATAAATAAAGCTTTACGAACAGAAGATGTTGCAGCATTATATACATTTCGTTTTTATCTAATTGATTTATGTTCTCAGTTAGTGATTAATCATGAAATGGTATTAGATTGTGGTAAGCCATTAAAACTTTATCGCGGAATAAGACATTCAAAAGATGAAATTGAGCGTTTAAAAGATAGTATTGGTCATTTAATATTAACAAATGGATTTCTTTCCACAAATGATAATATAGAAGTAGCTGAGATGTATGCTGGAATTACAGATATGAATCCTAATGGTAACAGAAATGATTTTGAACCAGTTATTTTTGAAATTGATTATGATACAAATAAACACTCAACGGCCATAATAGCTAATATTTCGTGTTATAGTCAATTTCGAGATGAACAAGAGTTTTTATTTGATCTTGGAACAGTTTTTCAAATAGAAGAATTTCTTATAAACAAGAGCGAAAATGCTGGGTATGCAAAATGATACCGTCTGATAAAGGTTCAGAAATAGCCAGAGAATATCTAGAATTTCAAAGAAATGAAATGAATAATGGAAAATTAAATACGTTCATTTTATTTGGTGATTTACTTTATGATATGGGAGAATATATTAAATGTCGTAATTATTTTCAGAATTTATTAAGTCATCAATCTATGCAAGATTCATCTATTGTCATTGATATTTACACAGGATTAGGACAAGCATTAATTGGAACAACTCAAATCGATTTATCACAAAAGTACCTTCAAGATGCTTATGATTTATCTCTCACTATCGAATCATCTCCTGGTAGACGTGCTAAAATATTAAGTCGTATCGGTGATATATATAGGTACCAAGGCAAATTTAATTATGCACTGGATTGTTGTTTCAAAGGATTGAAGCTTCTTCGAAAAGATACGGAGAATAGAGTACTTATTGCATATTTGCTAAGCAAAATTGCTGGAGTGTATTATGATAAAGGACAAGACGATTTATCATTGGAATACACGAAAAAATCATATAAATATCTTGAAAATTCGGCACCTGAAGATCATCCATACATGACTAGATATTATAATGATATGTGTAGGATTCATTATCATAAAGGATCTTATGATCTAGCATTATATTATCAAGTAAAAGCGTATGAAAACGATAAAAAAATCTTTCCTGCTGATAACCACATGTATTTTAGTGTGGATACTAATAATATTGGTAAATGCTATTATAAAAAATACGAATATGAGCAAGCTATGATATATTTTCGACAAAGTTTGGATATAGCACGAAAAGTATTAAAAAATGATGATAATTACTTAGACATGGGCATAGAAATTAATAATATTGGAAAATGTTTCTACCGACAAAAAAATTACTCCCAGGCATTGAAACAGTATCATATTATGTTACAATTATTAGAAAAGGCTAATTTAAAAGATCATGTGGATATGGCTTATACATTAAAAAATATTGGTGAAGTTTATTTAGATCTATTAAACTTTGATCTGGCATTAGATTATTTTGATCAAGCACTTTTTATATATAAAAAGATATTTAATGATTTAGAGCATCGTGATATAGCAAAATGTTTAAATCTTATTGGACAAATTTACTATTATAAAAATACTAACGATGATGAAACATGTTTAAATTATTACAATAAAGCATTAGAAATATGGAAAAATGTTTTACCTTCTAATCATTGAGATTTAGCATTATGTTACAAAAACATCACTCTTTTCTATTTAAATAGAAAATTTGACTATATTCAAGCAGAAAACTATTTTCTTATTTCATACGATATATACAGACACGTATTAGCAGCTAATCATCCTCATTTAAATGAAATCTATGATATTATGCAAATGATATTAAAATGCAAACAAAAAGCAATACTATTCATGATTATTGATACTTTTAAATTAATTTTATTTTTGATTTTATTTACGATTGGATTCTTAATCTAACACTGTAATTATTTTATGTTTGAATATATATGCCAGAATATAAAAAGAAATTTAGTTCATGTTAAAATTTTGATCTAAACTAGTCGAAGAGGAGATGTAATAAGTGATGAAAACATAATTTGTTAGTACGACTATGTAGAATTTATCTGACATATGAATACACACAATAATGAGAAGAAATAGAATACGCAACAGCTTTTACATTTCAAACTATTGCCACTATGATATTTTGTACAAGAAATCTTGAGGGTATGTGTAGGTATGGATGTCAATGCGTAGGCGAAATAGAATACCTAGACTCAAAATGTATTCTAACGCGTTAAATATGTTTCAGGCACGCATTGAGAGGCAATTCATTTTTTCTAATTGCGTTTCAAAGCTTTGTATATATCACGACCTGAAATGTGAAATATATACTAACACCATCTACGAAAAGGAAAAGAAAGAACGAAAAAAAAAACGAACGATAACAATCTATGTCCATACATCACAGTATAGAAAAAGTGCGTCAAAGCACGTTTTTTTCGAATCATATTTCAACGCATTGATTTTGCATTTCGTGCGTAGATGGGTTGTTTTTCACCATGATATATACGATTTTTAATATAAAAGGTGTTGCCAGGCATAATAAATAAATGAAAAACAACTACATATGAAATAGAGACACTATAAAATGAGTTACTTTTAGATTCTTTTACTTGTCAATTTTTATCAAACAAGTCGAATACAATACATTCACATTAGAAATAATGGAACATCAAGAATCAACAACTGCTACTGCATTCATTGATGTAAAACAGGATGAGCCAGCATCTGCTTTTCCCACGAATGCAACAGAAAATCGACGTATGAACATGCAAAATGCCCTCCTGATTTGGTTGGACAACAGCATTGACAGTAATAATGCTGATTGTAATAATATAATCAAACAATTGAAACGTGTTGTTAACAACGTAAACACATTTACAGATGGTGAACAATATGTTGAATTTATTCAAACCATTACTAATAACAAAGTATGCATGATTGTTTCCGATTCACTTGGACAGCATATTGTGCCTAATGTACATCATATGTCTCAAATAGATACCATTTTTATTTTTTGTAATACCCAAGAATCACATGAGCAATGGACCAAAGAATGGCCTAAAATAAAAGGAGTCTTCACAGATATTACATCAATCTGTGAAGCTCTGAAACAAGCTGCTCAGCAATGTGAGCAAAATGCCATCTCAATCAGTTTTGTAGCTTCAGAAAAGGAATTCGATCAATTAGATTCAACCTTTATATATACTCAGATCTTGAAAGAGATCTTATTAACCATCAAGTTTGAAGATGAACATTTCAAAGAATTTATTGCTTATTGTCGTGGTATATACGAAGATGATGAAAATGAATTGAAAAATGTTAATCAATTACAAACAACATACAAAGACAACACACCCATATGGTGGTATACAAGGAATGCATTTTTATATTCGATGCTGAATCAAGCATTAAGATCAATGGATGTTGATATGATCATTCGAATGGGTTTTTTTGTTAATGATCTACATCATGATATTAAACGACTCCATTCGGAACAATTTGATGGTGAACCATCAGGTAAAACATTTACCGTTTATCGTGGACAAGGTCTTTCAAAAGAAGATTTCAGCAATATGACAAAAGCTAAAGGTGGACTTATTTCATTTAATAACTTCTTATCGACTGGTAAAAATCGTGATATGTCTCTGACACTTGCCCAACAAGCTGCTACAAATCCTGATCTTGTTGGAGTTTTATTTATTATGTCCATTGATCCTACTGTGGCAACAACTCCATTTGTTTCTATTAGTGGTGTTAGTTATTTTCATACGGAAGATGAAGTTCTCTTCTCCATGCATAGCATGTTTTCCATTGGAGATATTAAACCAATAGATGAAAACAATCATCTCTATCAAGTGAATTTAACATTAAACAATGACAACGACCATGATCTTCTTACTCTTACAGATCGTATTCGGCAAGATACCTTCCCAGGATCGAATGGATGGTACAGATTAGGTCAATTGTTAATTAAAATGGGTCACTTTACTAAGGCTCAAGAAGTTTATGAAGAGTTAGTTCGTCAATCAAATGATGAAAGTGACAAGGCATCTATTTATCATCAACTAGGTGGGATTAAAAACAATGAAGGAGAATATGAAGAAGCACTTTCTTATTATGAAAAAGCACTTGCTATCTATCAAGAAACACTTCCTGCTAATGATATTACTTTGGATAATATCTATAACGACATCGGTGTGTTGTATCATAGCATGGGTGATTATCTAAAAGGACTTTCATTTGATGAAAAAGTCCTTGAAATCAAACAACAATCACTTCCGTCCAATCATCCTGATTTGGCTACGTCCTATAACAATATGGGTAATGCATATTCAAAAATGGGTGATTACCCCAAATCACTTTCTTATTATGAGAAAGCTTTTGAAATTCGACAACAATCACTTCCTCCTAATCATCCTGATTTTGGTGCTTCCTATAGTAACCTTGGTATGGTGTATGAAAGCATGGGTGACTACTCAAAATCACTTTCTTATTATGAAAACGCCCTTGAAATTCGACTACAATCACTTCCCCCCCAATCATCCTGAATTGGGTGATTCCTACAACAACCTCGGTACGGTGTGTGACAGCATGGGTGATTATCCTAAAGCACTTTCTTATTATGAAAAAGCTCTTGCAATCACACAACAGTCACTTCCACCCAATCATCCTAGTTTGGGTAGTACTTACAACAATATCGGTATGGCATATAAGAACATGGGTGATTATCCGAAAGCACTTTCGTCTCATGAAAAAGCCCTAGAAATTCAGCAAAAATCACTTCCTCCCAATCATCCTGAGTTGGGTACTTCCTATGACAATATAGGTATGGTGTATTATAGCATGGATGATTATACAAAAGCACTTTCTTATTTTGAAAAAGCTCATGCAATTCGACAACAATCACTTCCTTCCAATCATCCTGAAGTTGGTGTTTCTTATAATAGCCTAGGTATGGTATATGACAGCATGGGCCACTATCCAAAAGCACTTTCTTATTATGAAAAAGCCCTCGAAATTCAACGAAAATCACTTCCATCCAATCATCCTGATTTTGGTGCTTCCTATAATAACCTTGGTATGGTGTATGATAGCATGGGTGACTACCCAGAAGCACTTTCTTATTATGAAAAAGCTCTTACAATTAAACAACAATCACTTCCATCCAATCATCCTAGTTTGGGCAATACTTATAATAACCTCGGTATGGTATATGAGAACATGGGTAACTATTCAAAAGCTCATTCCTGTTATAAATGTGCTTTAGAAATTGTAGAACAATCATTGCCAACAAATCCTCTCAAGTTTCAGACATTTGGAGAAAACCTTGAACGCGTAAAACAGAAATTATAATTTGTTTTTGTACTTTTTTTTGAAAATGAAATAAAACTGATGAACAAGAAAATAGTAACACCTAGCGTGTGGGTGTGAAAGAAAGACACCATACCCACACCCCACCTTTAAGATGGGAAGGTACACAGTGTTCGGTATGAAGCGGTAATCGTATCGCAGTTTCTCCTGCTCATGCACACATGCTTCAGAGATTTCATTGGCATTGTCAGTTGGATCTTTTTAGTTCAAGGTTATCTTTTATTTCCAATTTGCAAAAGAAAAAAATGTAACTGTAAGAACAAAAATAAAGCTGAATGGAGTGTTCCTTGCTGAGTTTCCACTGCCCTCGCCCCCATCACCGCCACCGCTGCCACCCTCACCCCCACTACCGCCTCCGCCACCGCTGCCACCCTCACCCCCACTACCGCCCTCGCCACCGCTACCACCCGCACCTCCGCCTTCGCCGTCAGCAAACACCTTTCGAACTGCTGCGATCATTTGAGGGCTATTACACCGATCAATATTACAACTAAAATGCACATAATCATAGTTGGATTCTGCGGGACCATCGATCACATGGACCGTATCACGTTGTACAGGAATCTCATCATTGTAATTAGTTAACTCACATTTTGGCTGTGTCTTTAATCCAAATGGATTTCTCGGCTGACCATCCATTCTAATGATATTGCGTTCGTCGCTGTAGCTGCATAATCCACTGAAACAATCCATAAGCTCACTGGAGCTTGTGTAGCATTGTTTGACTTGTGGCGTAGTACTGTAAAGTAGATCGGTAAGCTTTTTTCCTGTGACTTCCGGACTCACGCTTTTGAGAAGACGATCCAAGTTCCTTTCCAGGTACTTCTTGTTGCACTCTTCTTCACCTGTCCTGCAAACGTACATCCAATCATGCCACGAATCGAAGCCGTCTAATTTTATATAATATCGCGACCATAAATTTAGTGCTTGTTTTATCCCATTCATAATCACTTCATCAAAGTCTGTAGTGCCGAACCTTATTTCTACCGTATCATATGGAGAATCCATTACAATCTTCACAGCACACGCTGTGTCCGAAATCACCTGCTTGCACTCTTTAGGCCAAACTAAAGGTTCGTTGAGCTTGTGAGTAAATGTACAGTTTATCACACATGTATGAGAACGAGCGTGTTGTTTCAGATTGCTTACTGTTTGAATTAATCCTCCTGCCACAAAATTCTGGGTTCCAACATACGAGAGAAGTAGAAAAACGACCAAGGTTAACGAAAACATCATTTTTTAAAAGTGAAGTAAGCGCAAGAAAGCGAAGCCTTTTATACTGTACATAAATGAAGACGTTACTTTATCGTTACTTTATAAATAAAGATAAAACTATCTTTGACAGTTTTCTACGAATATTCGAGTGGAGAACATCGACAACAGATCTTTACTTTTTTTTCCGCGAAAACATCAGTTTCCAACAAATAAAACGACACTGAATCATCGCTTTGATAACACACTCATTCTCTGACGTGTGGCAAAAGAAATGAATGAAGTTACCGTCATTATCACTGAGTTGCATATCATTGATCTTCAACAATGAGTCTTTCGGCTACGATGTGCATGATGTCATTTTATTATCTCTTGTCGTCAAGCTTACAGGGTGACAGTGTGGGTAACAATCACAAACCATCCTAATGAAATGGCCAATATCCATTCATCCACCTACGCACATCCACACCCACATCTCCATTAACACCCACACGCACACCCACACCCACCC